TAGTAGTAGTAGTAGTAGTAGTGGTCTGAGTCGTAGTACCACTACTGGGAGGAGAAGGTGGAGGAGGAGGAGGAGGAGGAGGAGGAGGAGGAGGACGAGGAGGAGGAGGAGGAGGAGGAGTGGGAGGAGGAGCAGGAGGAGGCGGAGGTGGAGGAGGAGGAGGAGGAGGGGTTTTAGTAGGAGGAGGAGGAGGAGGAGGACGGGGAGGAGGAGCTGGTCTAGATAGGAGAGTGGGGAGGCAGCGGCGGAGGAAGACGAGGCGGATGAGAAGGAAGGAGCTGGAACTGGCGAAAGATGATGGGTGGGTGGAGCAGGAGGATCGTGGAGGAGGAGAAGGAGGATCGAGGCGGAGGATCAGCCCAGGCTGGCGTGAGAATATCCAGCAAGGAGGATGAGGACTTCATCGCCGAGAAGCTGAAGCGAAACAAAAACCTTCGTGCTCTCGTCCAGCTCAGCGAGTCGCAGTACCACCAGATTGCAAAACTGGCGCGCAGGCTGGAGGTCGAAAAGGACGGCGTGCTGTACCAGCACGGAGATGTTGGCCACGACATCTACGTCGTCCACAGGGGGAAGGTTTTGCTGGTCCCGCCTCCACGCGTACAGCGCTCCGCCGAGGAGATGGCGACGTCCACCCAGTTGGCCAAGCGCGCGCTGCGGAAGCAGGACTTCCTCGAAAAACTCTCGAGGGGCCCCACCTGTGGGAACGGGCTGGATGTGCTGCGCGAGTCCGTCCCGCCGAACGGCTCCCCGCCCAAAGCCTCCGGTGGCGGCCCCAGCCCCCCCAGAGCGCGCCGGAACTCCGACGTGAGGCCATCGTCGATGAGGGCGGGGCAGGCACAGCCTCGGGAGGGCGCCAAGCCCAATGGCGCCAGGGCGCGGCATCGCAGCATGATAGGCTCTACGCAGACAGAGCTGGGCGTCACCATAGGTGATTTTGTGGTGCTCAACGACGCAGGGGCCGGGAGGCCGCTGGCCTTCGGCAGGTCCACGAGCCACGGCCCTTCGCCCGGCGAGGGGGCCGAGACGCAGGAGGTGGGGCGAGTCGTGGAGATCACCTCAACTGGCAGGGTAGTAGTCGAATTCCAGCAGCGTGGGGTCAAGGAGCTCAGGGCGAATCAGGTGCAGTTGGCCAAGACCACGGGCGCCGTCACCACCTTCGGGAGAGGGGAGAGCTTCGGGGAGGTTTCCATGCTGTACGACCTGAGGAGGATAGGGACTTGTCACGCTAGCGGTGACCAGGGGGCCACTCTCTTCGCTATTTCCAAGAGGGACTTCAAGAAGTGCCTGGACCGGAAGGACTTGCAGACTAAGGCAAAGCTGCGCGAGTGGTGCGATGTGCTCGACGAGGTGCCCTCTCTACAGCAGCTGCTGAGGTCCGAGCGCATGGAGCTCGCGAAGGCGAGTTGTGTCGGCGAGGTCCGGTTCCCGCCGGGCGAGTGCTGCATCCGCAAAGGCGTGAACGGGTGTTATCAAAACAGAACCGATGCCAGCGCGTGAACCCCAAACAGTGTTTGCCAGACAATAGGGTTTGCCCGACAATTGCCGGCGAGAACATCGCAGCGGCCACAACCAGCGCTGGTGGAAACTTGGGTTGGTGGTCAAGGGTTCGGGGCGAGAGGTGGCGTGTAACAGGCAGGGCATGTGGGGCTCTGCAGGGACTATGGGAGCCATCGGCGAAAGCCAACGTGATTGAGCGACGGCAGCTGTAAATTCTGGCGACGGCCAGGGGAAGTGGGGCTAGGCACGGGCTCGGAGGGGGTTGCGGTGGCAACCGCCGTCTTCTGGCATGTGGCTACACTGGACGAGTGACTGCGACCGGCGTCTGTGGCGGCAGCAATCAAGGCTAGTGGGCTACTAGGTGGGGGTTTGTAGGCTCCAGAGGACAGCAGCAGCAGCAGCAGCTGGCGTTCTCGGTGACTGCCAGAGCTCATGGTGCCAGGCAGTGCTAGTGGAAAGCGATAGGGCCTCGTGGTGGCAGCCAGCGTTTCTGCTGGCACCCAAAGATGTGTGGGGCTAGGCAGTGGCCAGGGCTAGTGGGGCTAGGTAGGGGCGGGCGTCAAGCAGGGTTTTAGGCGACAACCGAGGCAAGTCGGGCTGGGAGCGGGCTAGGAGGGACTGGCGGTGGGAGTGAGGGCTTCCTGGAGACTGTCACGGCGAGTGGGCCTAGTGGGGGGCTAGGCACGGGGTAGTGGCATAGTGGCGGCAGCCAGGGTCTCTTTCGGCAGCCAGGTCTAGTTGGGGTCAGGTGAGCGCTGGTCGGGGCAACCATCGCTGCTGGCGACAACCAGGGCTCGTGGGACTGGGGACAGGACCTGGCGTCGTCCGCGGATGTTCTTGGGGTCGTAGACGCGGTGAGAAGCCTTCCAAGCAAGCACTGCATGGGGAGAAGCACATGACTTTGTCTGCCCATATCCTGTAGGTACAATGTTATGCTACGAATGTGTCCATGTACGTACACGCATGTGTATGCAAAGATATACATAGAACGGTGGACCGGGGCCCTGGGCCCCCGGGCTGCGTCTTGACAGGCCGCCGGGGGACTGGAGGTCGGGCTAGGCTTCCCAGAGCCCTTGGGACTGGCCGAGATGGTCCGCTGATGGCCGAAGAGACCCCCAAGACGGCCCAACCTCCAAGATGGCCCCAGGACAATCCAAGAGGGCCCCAAGAAGGTCCCAAGACAACCGAGGACGGTCCCAAGACAGGTGAAGAAACCCATGGCCGCTCCAAGCAGCCCCGAGATGCCCCTGGCAGCCTGCAAACATATAGATCTGCTTGGTGTATTTGTATGGTTTCCGCTTATTCGCCTGTTCGGCCGTCTGAGCTCCCAAGGCGGTCCAAGAGCCTTCCAAGATGGCCCGAAGACGGTAAAAAAAGAGCCCCAAGAGGGGCCCCAGAAAGGGCCAAGACGATCCAAGAAGGGGCCCAAGCTGGCCCAGAAGGGCCGCAAGACGGCCCAAGAGAGCCTCTGGAAGCGCTCAAGCGGCCCGATAGGACCCTAAGGCAGCCCAAGACTGACAAAGTGCGCCTTTCCGCCGCCCCAAGAGACTGCCACGACGTTGCATAGGGGTCCAAAACTGTCCAAGAGGGCCTCAAGGCCGCCCTATAGGCCCTCCAGACAGCCGGAACATTGTTCCAAGATGCCCCAAGACTGGCCAGGACGCTCCCAAGGAGAGTGCCCCAATACAAGAGGCCCCCCAAACAGCACGACAATTCTTTCAAAAGACGTCCCAAACAGGCTAGGATCCTCGCAAGGTGGTTCCGAAACGCTCTCGGAAAACCTCTCCAAGACGGACCCTCCCGCATGCGTCCACGATGGTCCAAGCCGGCCCAAAGACGGCTAGAAGCGGAGGGGGAGGAGAGACGGATGTCCAGCATGCGTCCAAGAGGATCAAGACGGCCCATTGACGGCTGGAGGTGGAAAAGGAGAGGGAAGTTGAAGATGAGGAGGAGACACCTCAAGGAGGACCCCAAAATGGCCCAGAAATTGCCCACGGGCCTCAGGAGGCTCCAAGCAACAACTCCGGATAAGCCCAAGTCCGCAGAAGCAGCCCGAACACCTCGTAATACGACCCCCCTGTTCCCTTTCCCCCCGCTCCCATGTTCCGTGACTGTCTTGTTGCAACCATATCTCCTCCGTCTTCTCCCTTCTCATGTCGTCATCCATTCTCATGTCCTACTCAGGTCTCCCTTCTCGTGTCGTCATCCCTTCCTCTCCCTCGGCTTCCCTCCCGCGCTCCTCATCCTCCTGCTCCTCGATCTGGCTCCAAGAGGGCCCGAGAACTAGCCCAAGAGACCCCTTGGAGGTACCCTCCAGCATGCTGTCCACGAGGTTCCAAACCAGCCCAAAGACGGCCAGAAGCAGAAGAACATGAGGAGGAGGAGGAGGAGGAGGCGGAAGACGGAGTGAGGAGAGGGATGAGGAGGAGCAGGAGGAGGAGGAGGAGGAGGAGGAGGGGAGGAGGCGAGGAGGAGGGAGGGGAGGAGGAGGAGGAGGAGGAGGAGGAGGAGGAGGAGGAGGAGGGGAGAGGGGACGTGGCGGAAGACTCCCCGAGCCAGCAGAAGTGTCCGACTCCCTGCCTGTCTGTGCACTGTGGCCTTTCTCTGTCGTCGACGTGCCTTCGCCCGCCCCAGGAGAGAGACCCCGAGAGCGGCCCCCAGGTAGCCCAAGCGGGCGCCAGGGCACCCCAGCGGGGCTTTCAGGCAGGCTCGGCGTGCTCCCACTGGGGGCCCCAGGACAGAACCGGTCTCCAGCTGGGCCCCAGCGAGTCCTCAAGACAGTCCACGCGAGCCCCAGATGCCCCGACACCGTTCCAGAGGGCCCGAAGGCAACCCCGCAGCGGCCCCAACACACCCCCTGGAGTCCCTAGACACGTTCCTCGGCAAGTGCTCTGACGCGTCCCCTCACACGCCCCCTTGGTCCCCTCAGGCTGCTCCAGGTGGAGGGGAGTGATGTCTTTGGTTGTGAGCGTGTTCGTTGCTGCTGGTCAAGCGGCCGGGGAGAGCACACAGGAGAAGGCAGACGTGCCTGCCTCTCGAACTGACGTCGCTGGTCAGGAGTGGGGATTACGAGGAAAGACCTGAAATGACACTGAGAGCGAGTAAGACCCAAGCGCGCGCGAAGCGCACGCCGATTCACGCATCCGTAACTATCGAACTTCTACATTATAGGTACATAGTAGCATGCACACATTATTTGTTTAAAGAGAGGCGCGAAGCGGGATCCACGCCAGTGGTACGTGGTTGCGAGCGGTTCTGCAGAGATCTACGCGGACTGCGCGAACCCTGAGGGCGCTGATTGTACGGAAACGCCCAGCACAATCACTAGAGGAGGGGTGTTCGGCGAGCGATCGCTCATGAGAAAGACCTACGTCGCCGAGGTGACCATCCTGGCAGGAGCGAACGGGATGGTGTGCCTGGCGTTCGAGGAAGAGGCCTTGTACAGCTTTCAGCACCGCACTATCATCACAGATCCGAATTCGACCCTCGAGGAGTACATCAAGGGAAGGTCTTCTTCTACCGACGATACATGCCCGGACGCGTTCAACATCAACCCGTGGAACCTGAGACGAATCTGCGCCCTCGGGGAGGGCGCGTATGCCAAGGTTCAGGGGGGGAATACGCACACAGACACAAGTGACCGTCGACTCCCAGGAAAATATGGGAAAATATGGGAAGTGGGGGGAAGACGAAAACCCGAAGATATTGGAAACAAACATATGAGGAATCCTGGGACTTGTGCCTGTTCATGGGTAAGTCCTAGGGCCCCTTCCAAGGTGTTCCTGCTGGAGGACCCGCAAGGGAGGCGCTTCGCCGAGAAGCGGACCTCCAAGCGCCTCGTACGGAAGGGGGGGAAGGAGCTCCAGAGGGCGATCTGCAACGAGAGGGACCTGCTCTCCATCTGCCGGAGCCTGTCACAGGGAGAAAAGCGATGACATACACACAAAAACTCGGCGGTCCGCGCGGATTCCTCGGATCGGTGCTGGACCCCCGTCCCTGGCTCGCGGAGGGCGCCAGGGGCGGCGCCGGAGACGCCGCCAATGGGGTTCCGGCGCGGATTCCGCGCGGACCGCCGAGTATTTTATGTTTATGCCATTGTTTGTTCCCTTATGCCATCGTCAGAGCCAGCCTGCCCAAGGGTTCGACGGCTTTTCTCCCATCGGCTTGCGGGGATTCGGCCAGAGAAGTCGAGGCAGATCCAGGTACATCGATGCAGACGCGGATCTGCCCAGGTCAAGCCGGGCATCTCGAGGGAGATCTGGAGCAAATCGTGGACGCTCCAGCTCGAGTCGATGGGCAGCAGAAGCCGTCAATCCCCCTCAGCGACCCCCCCCCGCACCCACCGGGAAAGGATACGCTGGCTCTCCCAGCGTACCCCCTCTCCAGGTGGGGACGAGCGCCGCCCATCCCCACCCAAGGGGGGGAGGCGGGGCGAGCCGGCTGGCGGGGCCAAGGCTTTCCTGTCTTGGGTGGGGATGGCTTCCCGCCTCCCCCAGAGGAGCGACTTCATCATCCGCCTGTTTCTGTCCTACCAGGACCGAGACTTTGTCTACATGGTCGAGGAGGCCGCGTGCGGCGGCACCCTGGAGAAGGTCGTCGACCTCGAGAACGGCTGGGGCCCGGTCCAGAGGAGCAACGCGGCGCGCTTCTACCTGGCGGGCATCACCGCAGGACTGGAGCACCTGCACGAGCGCCACATCATACACCGGGACATCAAGCCAGGCAACGTCTTGCTGTCCAGGACGGGCTATCCGAAGCTTTGCGACCTGGGCTTCGCGCGCTTCGCCCTGGGCAAGGTTTGCGGGACGCCAGCTCTGCAGCTGCACCAAGCATGGCCTGGCCCATCCAGGGCCTGGCCGGCCTTTGTCGTGCTGCAGCACGCTTGGTGCCCCCCCGCAGGCGTATACGCAGTGTGGCACGCCGGAGTACATGGCTCCAGAGTTGATCGACTTCCCGAGCGAGCACTCCCGCGCGGTGGACTGGTGGGCCGCCGGGGTGCTCGCGTTCGAGCTGCTGGACCCCAAGAGGCAGGTCCCCTGGTCCTACTGCGGTGAGGACCCTTCGCGGTGGCCGCACCGCTCGTAAGCAGCAGGGAGTCACGACTTCCTGGACAGGGGAGGAGGAGGAGGAGGAGGAGGAGGAGGAGGAGGAGGAGGAGGAGGAGGAGGAGGCGGAGGAGGAGGAGGAGGAGGACGAGGGGGAGGAGGAGGAGGAGGAGGAAGTAAGAGTCGAGTCAAACGCACGCTTCTTGGATCCAGCCAGCAGCAGGAAGCACACAGCGGATTGCAGAGGCAATCGATTTCCTCTCTCTCTCTCTCTTCATTCCCCCCCCTGCGGGTGCGGGCGATGGCGGCCGACGTTAAACCGGGGGAGGGGTCCACGATTGCAGTCGGCGCGGGGCCATCGCAGCTGCCAGCAGCTGTTGCTGCCGCGACCGGAGTCCCAGGCGTCCCGCGGCGCGTCTACGTTGCGGACGTCCAGTCGTCCCGCAAGCGCAAGGCGTGCTGCCGGCAGTGCCGCGAGCCCTTCGAGCAAGGCCAGGTCCGCTTGACGCTCCGCCAAAGGAGGCGGGTGGTTCCTGCACAAGGCCTGCGTTCATGCTGGCCTCCGAGCGGCAGACACAATCTTGCATGCCCAAGCCCTCCCGGAGGCCGACAACGAGGAATTCCAAGCCTTGGGGGTGCAGATGTTGCCGGCTGATGGCGCCTCTCTCACGGAGCCCACGAATGCGCACGACCACGCGAAGGAGATGGACCCCGGGGAAGCCATGGCAGAGGAGCAGGTCCGCGGTAATCCGGCGATGCACGCAGACGAGAGCAACGAGCTACGCAACATGACCTGGCGGGAAGGAGCGGACATTCTACGCATGCTGGAGGTGCCGGTCCGGACCTGCGAGGCCGCACCGAGAGACATGGAGGCGGCGCTCGAGGAGACCAAGCTTACTGTCCTACGTCACGTAGCCTTGCACCCTTCAGACGAGCCTGGTTGGAAACTCTTGCTCATGATGGACCGCTTCCTCTACGCCAGACCGCTCCCGAGCGATGACAAGGATACAAGCGCTTCGGCACAAGCCCGAGCAACATGAACAGCACGCCTCCGCCACTTTTGGCGAGGCGGTGACAGGAGCTCGCAGAAGAGGCAAACATCCTCTGCGAGGTGCGGCCCGGCAAGGCGAGGGACCAGACCGGCAGCCCATCCGAGAAGAAGCAGTTGGAGGAGAGAGTGGAGGCGATGGTGCTGGCGGGTGAGCTTCCGCGAGCACTGAAGACAGTAACCATTACGCTACCCCCAATCAGCGACAAGAAGCACGTCCCCGAGGTGGCCGCCCTTTTCCCGGAGGAGAAAGTTGGACATTTCCCACCTCCCTTTGAGGTTGCGCCCCACGGCCTGCTTTGGGCCAAGCCTCAGGACCATATCCAACGCGACATGAAACACATGGCGAAGAAGGCCAGGCCAGCGATGGACGGGTCGCGCTTCGAGCATTGGATGGGCAGCTGCAAGGAGATCCGGCGCCTCACATCGCAGATCAGTGTGGCGTGGGCGCGCGGGCTGGCACCTGCAGTAGCCTGTTCGGCATGCTGCGTGGGCAGACTGCTCACGCCGGCCAAGCCGAAAGGCGGGCTGCGGCCGTTGGTGATCACGGCTGTGCTGAGGCGCATCGTCTTGAAGAGCCTAGCCCGAGTCATTACGCCCGAGATCCGCGCGCTGCTAGAGCCCGTGCAGCAAGCGATCGGCGTGGCAGGTGGCACAGAGAAGCTGTACCACACGGTGTCGGCACTGCTAGCGGGCTGCCCGGGGAAGGTGATCGTGACCCTCGACCTCAAGAACGCCTTCGGTTCGATGAGTAGGGCGATGATGCGCGAGGCGATGAAGGAGGTCGCGCCGGAGTTGGACGCACTCGTCACGCGGCTCTACGCGGGGGTCACGCCGCTGATCTGGGAGCATGCGGGCGGAGGAACTGAACAACCACATTTCAGGCCAAGACTGGCATCGACGCGGGCTGCCCATTCTTGTGCATCCTCTTCTGTTTGGGGCTACACAAAGTCCTTGCGAAAGCCCAGAGCACGGCGCCAGCCCAGACGCAGAAAGCGTTCATGGACGACGTCTACTCGGTCGGCAACGTGGCAGACGCAGGCGTGGTTATCGAGGCCTTCGGCGAAGCAGCAGCACAAGCAGGCATGGAATTGCACCCCTCCAGGATCCACATTTTCGGGGCGCAGCGGCACACGGCGAAGGTGTGGGAGCGCACTGTAGCGGCAGCTTGGGACGATGGCCAGCTAACGCCGGCCATGCGCGTCCAGCTACAGCTCCCCCTATCGGCGGGTGGCTTTGCAGCAGGAGGCGTTCTTGACCGAGCTCCGGCGGCGTTCCTCACAGGCGCGCTGGCAGCCCTCCAGGAGGTCCACGAAGAGCTGGGCACGACGACAGTCGAGCACTTGCGCCGGCAGCACCCGAAACTCATCGCGGACATGGAGCAGGCGACCGCGGAGCCGGTGGCGGGTACAGGCTCCCGGGTGCCCGCGATGTGGCGGGCGGATCGTCAGCGCAACCTCCGAGGCCGCCGACGGGAGTGGACAAAGGCAATGCAGGCGCAGCGTCGGCAGCGGCTCTACCAGACGCTCGGGCGCCGGCAGAAGATCGCCCTCAATGAGGCGGCGGAGGACGGCGGAAAGATTTTGACGGCGCCGACGCGCGAGGAGCACCGCGTGGCGGACGCGCAGTTCGCCGTAGCGCCGCTCCGCCGCTTTGGCGTGAACTGCTGTCCAACCGGGGCGACCTGCAGGAACAGGAACTCCACCGGCGAGATCTGCGGTGCAGCCTTGGACCCGGAGGGCCACCACGGCGCCACCTGCGAGTGCGGCGGCGGCTTAGTGCGCCGGCACGACAGCGTCCGAGACACTCTCCAGAAGAGGCTGCACGAGCACCTGGGCGCCAGCATCCACATCGAGCAGCGTGTTGCCGAGATGGGGCGCAACGGGGCGGTGGCGAGACTCGACGTGGCGGTCACGATTCCAGGCAGAACAACAAATTTCCTGGACGTGGCTGTGGTCGGAGGGCATCGAGCTGCAGCGCGCGGCGAAGCCCGGAGCTGCGGCGGCGGCGATGGAGCGCGAGAGGCGTTCCATGTACGGGCCAGACACCCGCTTCGTGCCATTCGTCCTGAACAGCCGCGGCCAGCTCGGCCTCACGGCGAAGAGGTGGTTGCGCCACGCGTACGCGGGCAACGCGCCAGAGCGGTTTTCGCTCCTCCAAGAGCTGGACGCGCTGGTACAGTCGCACACCGCGAGCACGGTGATAGCCAATGCGACTTAGGTCCTGACGTAGCGTGGGCCCAGTTCCTGATCCGACTGCGGAGATGTTTCGCTCTCCTCCCTGCCGTCTTCCCCCCCTCCCCCATTAGATATGTGTGTGCGGCGGGTGTCGCGTAGCACCGCGCGCTATACGCAGTTGCGCGTCCTGTCAACTGGGGTTCCGGAAAACCTCCCCCTAAGATCCCGTAAAGGGGGGTGGGGAGTGGAACGCAGCATTTTGGATGTACCGGCCTATCCGCGGCTTTAGGCGGCAGAGTGGCATAGATGGCATTGTTCACACCTGCGCGGCCACCCTGTAAGATAGGAGTGTGCCTTGATTTTCCTATATCGTCTCCTCTTCTCCTTCCTCCTTCCCCCCTCTCCCTGTCGCTGTTTTTTTGGGGTGCGCCTTGTCGCGGGCGCCCAGGTGGTCTTTGGCCGCCTTCCACCTGGGCGTCGACAAAAACTTCCCTGATAGACACACCTCCCTGTTTTTGTTGTTTTTTGTTTTTTATTTTTCTTTTTTGCTTGGACCTCCGGCCGATACGCCTGGCCCCCGTGGACATCATACCTGAAGAGGATCTGATGCTGGGGCCGCGGATTCAGCGAAGGAGGAGGAGGACGAGGAGGAGGAGGAGGCGGAGGAGGAGGAGGAGGAGGCGGAGGAGGAGGAGGAGGAGGTAAGATTCGAGTCAAACGCACGTTTCTTGGATCCAGGTCGGGCGGGGGGCCTCCTCGTGACCGCGAGACAGGCCGCTGCCAGGAGAGCCCCTGCGCTCCTTACCGGGCGCTCCTCGTGGAAGCACGAGGGCTGTAACCCTCTTGGGCGGCAGGGGGCCAAAAGGAAGAGTCGAGTCGAGCGGACCTTCTAGGGGCCGCCAGCTCTGCCAGCCTGAGCTACCCTTATATGCCCGCTCTGAAACGCAGTTCCATCTTTTCCTTCCTCTTCAGGGCGCGGGCGGAAGACCAATCTACTTCCAGCGCCATCCTACTTCATGGTGCCACTCACTTCTTTCGAGCGACGGGTACCGTGCTCAAATTGAGAGGGTGGTCTGCGGAACGACGCTGACCAAGATGGACGGCGACCAAAATCGTCACGACGTTTCCGCTTTCTTCCCTCCATCACCCTCTTCCTCTCGATGATCTTAAAGATGTGTGTTAGCCCAAGCGTGTGTTTACCCTGTTCGGCTCCGCCGATAGCGCGCAGTCTGTGTCGGCACTCGTTGCGACTGGAAGGGCCGCGGTGGACAAGCTCAAGTTGGCGCTAACACACGTTCTGAGGATCATCGATCCTCTCACTAACCAGCCTCGAACTTATCCATATCTCCAGTATCGGCAGGCCCAAGGCGATGACAGTCCTAGGGATGTGCTCTCAGAAACGGAGGGGGTCCTTACGATCGGCACCAGGATAGGGTAATGCCAAACATAGGGATAGAAATTTCAAGCTGGTAACTCGTCTTCTCTCTTCCTCCCAGGCAGGCCTAGGACGAGGATAAAACTCAAGGGCGACGTCGGGGGGGATACGCTCGGGGGGGCTGTATGCATCGACCCCGAATCGCCCATTCGTCGCCGATAGGGCCTGATAGCCCACCCCGCCCAAGCGCGGATCTACGGCCTATCGTGGGCCTATCGCCGATCTACCGGCGATGCATCGCCGATTCCAGGTCGATGTTCCCCCCCTAAGCCGATCCCCCCCTAAACGTCGCCTCTTAAAATCACTCCAGAGCCTTCCAGGGCGCTCCCAGAGCGGTGCGGAACGCTCTGGGGTAGCCGCGGCGCCCAGTGCACGTCCTCTCCAGACCCGCGGGCGCTCTCAGATGTTCCCGACCATTCGCCATCCGAACTCGAATAGGAGGAGGAGGAGGAGGAGGAGGAGGAGGAGGAGGAGGAGGAGGAGGAGGAGGAGGAGGAGGAGGGGGAGGAGGAGGAGGTCTCAATCCTGCCTTCGTCGCAAGAAGCGCTCCTCGACCTCACCCCCTTCCTCCTCCCTGGTATCCCCCTCAACGCTCCGCCCTCCGGAGATCGGCAGCACCCACACGTGCTTGTATTTTTGGTCGCGCCGACACCCCAGGGGCGACGCGCGCACAGAGTGGGCGCTTTCTGGCCAGACTGGCCGGCCAACGATCTACTGCAGTATCTTCGTATGCTGGGTCCTTGGCTCGGACGCGCGCCTCCAATCGACTAGACGTAAGAGTGACCTTTCGCCGGAGTGGCCTCTGCTGCGGGCCCAGATGGGCCCTCAGATGGCTGAAAACGAGGCGGCAGCAGCGGCTTGTGCGCCCAGGTTTGGTCCCCCCGCGGCCCCCCCAAAGAGCCGCGCACCAAAGGCCACTCTTACCCAGGGTCACTCTTCTTGGCATCGCTCGGACGTGTGCATTCCTCCTTCGGCGAGGACCATCGAGGAGCATCCTTGATGATTTGGCGAAAAGGCCACGCACGAAGCCGAAAAAAGCACAGGGAATGGACGTCCGAGCGATGGCCACTCTTGCGTGTAGCCGATCCAAGGCAGGCGCTCCGTGTCAGGCACCACCGTGGCGCTGGCACGAGGTCCCCGCGCCTGGGCTCGGGCGAGGGGCTCTGGCCCTCGGGGCCCTCCCTGCGGCCCTTTGGTCGGGAAGAGCCCACCCGTGGCCGAGGCCTGCCGTGGCCGGCGAGGGCCCCTCCGTGGTGTCCCTCCAGGTACCCCCCAAATATATTTATATATATAGAGATATAGATATAGATATAGATATCGATGCGACTCGATGCCGCTGCTGGCCGGCCCGATCCGATTCGCTCCCGAGGTCGTGCCTCCCGGCGCGGCTGGTCCGCTTCGGCGCCGGCTCCGTGCCGAGGCGGCCCGGTCCGGCGCACCTCCCGATGCGACACGGGTTCCCGACCCGATGCCGAGCGATCCTGCCCTCTGCGCCCCCTCAGAGGGGCGCGGGCGCACGCCCCGCGTTTCGAGGAGGAGGACGACGGCCAGCGCCTGCAGGCCATTCGCGACGGCCAGCACAGGGCGCCGGAGCCCAGGCTGCCGCCCGAGACGCCGGAGGGCGCCAGGAGCGTCGTCGTGGCCGCCAGCGCCCTCGGTCAGAGGGTCGGCGGCGAGCCCGGGGGGGGGAAGTTCGGGGGAAGGAGAAGCGACACCACCACCACCACGACCACGACCACGACCACCACCACCACCACAACCACCGCCACCACCACCGCCACCACCGCCACCACCACCACCACCACCACCACCACCACCACCACCACCACCACCACCACCACCACCACCACCACCAGCCGCCACTCACCACCACCCACCACCCACCACCCACCACCCACCACCCACCACCCACCACCCACCACCCACCACCCACCACCCACCACCCACCACCCGCCACCCACCACCCACCACCCACCACCCACCACCCACCACCCACCACCCACCACCCACCACCCACCACCCACCACCCACCACCCACCACCCACCACCCACCACCCACCACCCACCACCCACCACCCACCACCCACCCACCACCCACCACCACCACCACCACCACCACCACCACCACCACCACCACCACCACCACCACCACCACCACCACCACCACCACCACCACCACCACCACCACCAGGGGGACCACCTCCAGCGAGGAGGGCCATGATTACGAGCACCTCCCCGAGCTGGGGAAAAGAGGATGTCCCGAGCGAGAGAGGGGGACCACACCACCAGGAGGACCCCCCCATGGCTCCTCCCGCTGGCTGTCCCTGGTGGTGGTGGTGTTGTCGCTTCTCCTGGATCCCAGGGACGTGAGAGGGGCAGGCCTGCTCAGCAGGGGGCGGGGCTCCTCTTCTCAGAAGCCCTCGATCTGCGCCTTCTGAGGAGCCGTCGGTGGCTTCGGCGAGGGCTTGCAACATGCCTCAGGAGGCGCGAAGGGGTTCTGAGAAGCCCCGCGGCCTTCTTAGAAGACCTGCCCTCTCTGACTTTCGATTTGGGCTCGCCGCCGAGAGGAGGGACAAAAATACCGATACCGCCGGCTCGTCCTCGAGAGTCCTTGCCGCCACTGCTGCGTGCTCCTCGAAATTCTGGTCAGAGCGTACCCCAGGAGAGGTCAGTGGAGTAAGCGGTATCGGCCCGTTTTTGTCCCTCCTTCGGTCGTCGTCGTCGTTGTCGTCGTCGTAGTCGATGGGAAGGAGGAGGTGGAGGAGGAGGAGGAGGAACGCACACTCAACGCCCTTACGGACTTTCAAATGTCTGTTCCATCATTTGCTCACTTCTCACTTGCTGCGCTTACTCAGGGTTTTCGGTTTGTCCGCTACATTGCCTTAGTCAGTTTCATTGTTTTGCTACCGCATGAACGCTACAGCCCCAGTGCGAAAGTCCGCTTGATGCAAAATGAGGGGGAGGAGAAATACGAAGAAGAAAAAGAGGAGGAGGAAGAAGAGGAGGAGGTGGGAGCTGATGGACCGGGGCGAGGGAGGTCCTCCCTGACGGGTCCGGGGTGTCTCGGCCCTCTCCTGGATCCCTGCGGCTTCCTCTTTTTATATTGCAGTGAACATTAGGAGTCGAGCTCCTGATCATGTCCAGCATTATGTAGCCGTTACGGCTGTACCTGCGCAGTTGGTAACCTATACTACTGATTGCGAGCCGTTGTATCAATATCATGATAATGTACTTCTATCACCGGGTATTACTATGGGTACAGATATATGTGTATATATATGTGTATCTATACACCTATACCTATACCTGCTAGAAATACTCAACATCGTGAAATCGTTGATTGGTCTTCGCCAGACGCGCAGAGGGAGAAAGGTTCTTGTTCGCCGATCGTCTGCAGGATTTTCGAGGGGAAGGAGTTGTGTGCTCAACTCTAGCTGGTAGCGGAGCTGGCACTGCCAGCTCCACGGGCAACGAAACCCGATATCCAGAGGAGATTTTAAGACAGCCTGTCGGGCAGTTTTGGCCTTCTGGATATGGCTTTGCAGCAGAAGCAGGACGTGGACGAACAGCATGGCCAGACGGACAGAATGTACCAGAACCGCGAGACTGGAACTCGATGAGACGAAGTGTGACGAACCCGCTGCCGTGGTCACCGGAAATGGAGCAGCAGTACCCCTTTCAGGACTTGGTTGGCAGATGCGGTGGCGTAGTGTAAGCGACGAGCTTAGACGAGAACTGAAAAAGGACCACAGTTGGACTTGCCGCTTGGGGGAACGGCCAGAGATTTGCTTCGAGAGTTGTTTTCTTTCGCCAAAAGATAAATCGAACGGACATGGATCTTGGAGCTGGTGCCGGGATTCAGCGATTGAGCGGAGCAGGCTTTGCATTACAGGCATTAGCAAGGCAGTTTTTACCGATGGACGAGGAAACGCAACTGAAGAGTCTGGCAGATATGTACGGGTTCGCGAGGATGCCTGGCGAGAACATCTACACGTTGCTTACCATATGAGGCATCGTACTACAGAGGGGGAGGACACGACCCAACATATCAGTTCAGCATCACCATGCACCATGGCTGTTGTTGATGGCGTTACGGCCTCCTTCAGCACATTGGGTCCATATTGTCGTTCTCTTATAAGGAACTCTGCCTGTCAACGCGTTGCAACATCGGCAGGGCATTTCGTATTTGAAGAGGTTTGGGTACTTCGCTGAAAGTGGACGTCGCAACATCCGGAACCCAGCGACGCAAGGACCTTCCGTCATGCACACCCACGACACCACGTTCATGACATCGGAAATGGGGCGGTTAGCATAATCATGATGACGAGGGTCCTTTGCTCCAGCGATGTCGTATCCAACGCAGCACGATAGGCAAGGCGATTACTAGGATGACAGCGATACCACAGATGACGACGGAAAAAGGGGACATCGCGCTGTTCGGACAAGACGAGGATGAGCCAGATATGTCAACGTGGTCCAGCAACGATCGCACCGAGCTCGTTTATAAGAAATACAATTTCTGTCGCGAGCAAGGCGCCGCGCCGTCATCGAGGACCTGTTCGCCGTCGGCACTACGAGCAAGTCTATCGGAAATGGCATACATGGTAGTCAAATCGGACCAGATGGACAATCATTGAACTTTTCAATATGCGATTCAGCCCAGCACCTGTGCAGGGGATGTCCCAACGGTACGATCAAGGGCAACGACGGAAAGGGCAATCGATATGGATCAAAATCAACCGCATCAACAGCAGCAGGTGGCGTGCTGGCAGCGGGGTCAGGTGCATATGGTGACGAGCCCGCCGACGTTCTCGCGGCAGATGCAGCCGGGCCTGCCGCCTCCGGCCATGGCAGCCGCATGTGCTGCGCCATCGGGTCTGACGATGATGATGATGGGCTCGCGCAGATGGGGGTGGCACCGAGTATTGTGGCTATTAAGCTGGGGGCTATGCGCGCGGTCGGCGCATCGGATGCCTCGTCGATGGGTCCGGGCTCGCCGGCGCTGCTGGCAATGGTGGCGCAGCAGCTGGTCTCTAAGTCTGCGGCGGCCCAGTGGACGTCGGCAGCGGGGTTCGGCGCGCCGCCGGCAGCGTGGCACGATGAGGTATTCTTGTCGCCAAAGAGCCAGCGAGGACCAGCGGAGTCCATGATCACCGTCGCCACGAACCATCTAGAGGAAGCAGGTCTACGTCTTGAAGTCGCCGCTGCCACTCCTGTCGTCCATGATATACGCGCGCGCAACTGCCTTCTGGGGGCTCTGGCCGGGAAGCGCTGCCCCGTTTGCGCGGGGCAAAGGTTGACCGCCGAAGTGGCGTTCGTGCTTGGCTGCGGTGCGCCGGGGCATTGGGCAACCCTCCTACTCGCCCCCTGTCGCGTGCGGGAGGGGGGCCTCGATCGAGACGGCCCCCCAGGGGAAGGCTGAGGAAGGGATTCGCGAGCGTTCCACATGGCGCAACCTTCTCGCCCGCGGTGGTTGCCCACTCGGCGACGCGACCTGGTCGCGGGCATGGTGGGTCTCGGCTCGGGCGACGCAGCGCGGGGGCACCGTCGCCGTTCTTTGGTTCGGGCGACGGTGGCCGCCAGGGAATTCGAACAGGGGGCGCGAGGTTTGCGCCGGCAGCCTTCCCCTGCAGAGTGGCGAGGTTGGTCGAGTGCCAGATGCGGGTGCTCACGGTTGGCTGCGCAGCGATCCGCGGGCGCGACGCCGGGCCGTCAAGCGCCCCGAGTTCGGCAGGAGGATGGAGCAGCAGGCGCCGCTCGAGCCCGGGTGCAATGCCGGCGTGGGCAATGGAGCTCGGCAGGCAAATTGCGTGGTGGATTTGACGAAGGGCATGGTGGACGTGGGTGGCGCGCGCCGCGGGGGGGCATTCAAGTCGCCGCGCGTCGGGCATTTGGGGGCGTTCGGCCTCGGGCATTCAGGATCTGGAGCGCAACGACGCCTTCAGGTGCGAGACGGGTGAGATCTGCATTCCTGGGCCTGGGGGCGCGGAGATAGGGCGTCTCCAGGCAGCCGTTGCTTTCGCATGACCAAGTCCAAGTCGAATCGTCGGCGCGCGCCGATCGGTCGACCAACCGCGTGACCATGGACAACCAGCAGAGACCAACCAGCAGCCCAATGGTAACCGGCGAAACCAGCGTTGCAGCAGCATCGGCCGAACCGGCGACCGGTACGCCGACGAGCCAGCGCATGTCGGTGAGTTGGCCCCCCCCCCCTACTGATTGACAGAGCGAGGCGGGCTGCCTCGGCCCGGAGGCATCGCCGCCGACCCCAGGGCCGGAGTTTCCGATCGCCGGCGTGGAGGAAGGGGGGCATCGCGGCCATGTGATGCTGGTCAGTGAAGATACGCAGCTGCGTCAACAGCGAACTGAACGATGTCCGCATTTACATATGGTGTCTCGTGCCATATTTCTGGATTCTTTGTGGTTGCACGCGCGCGACGCATTCTTGATATCATTTGTCGATCGTTGCTGAGCGCCCGCCGTGCAGGGCAGGGGCGGGATCGCGACGCGCGATGGGGGGATCATGGGCAGATGTGCGACAAGCCTCGCCAGTCGCAGTGAGATGGGCTTCGCGGTCTTCGCCCCCAGAGAAAAGATGCGCGGCAGATGGCAGATGCCAGATGGCAGG